TTTACTTATTTTTTTTTATAGCAATATAACCATTGGCCGGGGGTATTTAACGTTTTTTACTAGGTATACTTGTACTGTGTTATATTATATTATGTATTCTGATACTTCCGATTACATCGTAAGTATAGAGCTTAGTAATCTTAAATGTACATGGAAGTACGGCGGCAGTATAGCGCAGTTCTGCGAATAACTGGCTTCCCTTTCCAACAAATCCCTCTAGAGACCGAAAGGAAGCTAAGACGATCAGCTTATGTCAACAGGATGTTTGCTAGTGGGCGATTTTGAACAGCCTCTCGTTCTAATATAGGCTTCTAAACTACACATTTACATTTTATTTCTTATTTATTATTTAAGTCTCGCAACGCAATTCTTCCACTACAAAAAAATTGTGAGATCTCATGTAAAACCAATTTTATTTAGTTTCTATTGAAACGCATATTGAACAATTTTGTTATAAATTGTTAGTATCAACATGAGATATCTTTATTTCTGTAATAACGGCTTAACAATTACATGACACCATAATTATAAAAGAATTATCTACCATTTCAATTACTAATTAAATCTTACGCACTTAAATATTTTAATTACTATAATATATCATACCGTGCATTTGCCACGTCATTATGATTAGTACAGAAATATAGACATCGAGGGGTGTCTCACTGTTGGAATTACATGTACATTTTCTTGGCAGTCGCTGGCAGTCATTGGCATCAGTTGACGATAATTATATGGCAGACCTAGGCAGTCTTCTTCGCGGTCATTGGCAATACCAACCCCACCCAACCCATCCCTCGAGAAACATGTAATATTGATATTAATACTCACATTTAATAACGAAATTGTTTAATATTCGCTTCCGTAGAAACTAATTAAAATAAACTGACTTGGTCTTGTATGAGATTTCACAACTTTTTGTAGCGGAAGAATTGCGCTGCAAGAAATTTTTTATTTTTTCATGCCTTAATAAGCTTAAAGCTAACTAAAATTCGAAATTCGAAAGTCTGTGAAACTTCTAGAAATAACCTCGAATTTTGATGATTGGGCAGTGAGTCACTGTCTAAATTAATGAAATTTTACAAGCGATAGTTCATAAAGTATGAGGTACTTTTTTATATTTGTGAACCAAAACCTGTGTGTTGATCAATGTCAAGCTGCGTCGAAATATCGGTTTCGACGCAGTTGTCACCTAAGTTGGGACACCACGACATGAGACGATGTTGGTATTTGGACCGGTGGACTCTTGAAGACCTCCGTTGTGTTATTGTTTCAGGATGTTCCAAAGTGTAAAATCATGCTAATTAGAGGTTGCTTCCAGGCCAGTTGAGATCGGTGCACTCAGTGATAAGGTGTTCTGGTGTTTCCCCATTCTCCATCACCGTTGCTTCTCAGCTTCAGCCTACTGAGGTGTTCGTTTAGGAGACAGTGTCCTGTTAGAAACCCCGTGACAATCCGAAGATTGTTTTTACTTAAATCAAGGAAAATCTTTGATTTTTCTCGGTTGTAAGGTCTGAGAAGTTCTGAGCAATTTCTCGAGTGTTTTAAACCGTTGGTGGACACCCATTCCAGGTTACGGATGGAGTCTTCCAGGTTCTTCAGTTTCGCTTTCAGTTGGTTCCCGCTTGGAAAACAGAACGGTTCTGGTCCAGTTAGTGGGGGTATTTGCTCCTTTTCTAGCTAGATCATTTGCTTTTTCATTGCCTTCTATCCCTTGATGAGTAGGAGGACTTTATTTTCTTTGCCTACTTTGTTGAGTTTCTCTAGGCATTCTTTGACCAACTTCGAAATTGATGGTTTTCGACAGTTCCTATCTAAGATAAATTGTACGCATCTTTCGATAGCGTAGATTTCTGCCTGAAGGATACTGGGGTAGGTGCCTATTGATTCGGAGTATTTAGTTTTCGACCCAAATACTCCTATCCCTATGGTATGGTCTTGTACATGCCGAGCAAACGTTTCTTCCTTCCAGTCCTTTTTAGTAATCAATACTATACAGTGAGGTGTGTGCTTCTCAAAGTTGTAAATTCTTAGTATGTCATCCACTAGGAGTTGGAGAAGTGGAATTTTTTTTTGAGGGTGTTCCAAGCCCCTGGCCTGAAAATAATGCCAGTAATGTTTCGGTCAATGACATTGGCTAAGATGGTAGATCATTATATAGCTGAGGATTGCGGTTCGAAATCCACGTAATCCAAGTAGTCTCCATCCAGATTAACCACACCAGCAAAAATATATGCTAACTTACAATACTTTAATTTAAACGAAACACTATTCAAGAAGCACTTATTTTCTAATTATAAAAGTGATTTATAATAATTATAAATCTTATAATATGTAATTATTCATCTTTATCAACACTAATATCCCATGCAAAAAAAACTGTTTTAATATCCTTTTATTCAAAAAATTTATTTTTACTTTTGCAACGCTAGCTCTTGTTTGTCTGCACATTTATTTCAATAATATTGCTTGTTTTAGGGTCTTGTTTTGATATCTCAAGAATTAATTCCTGTTGTTCTCAGAGTTCGAACTTTTTATGGCGAAGTATTGTTTACGCTATTTGTGCTTCAATAAATCATTCTTTGGAAAGGAAAAAACAAACATTCTTGATTTATTGTCATATAATGCTTTTATTTAATAACTTACTTTTTTAGGATGGTTTAATTGTAATAAATAAATTTAAAAACAATCCATCCAACAGATTCGATATATACATTCTTATTATAATTCATATTTCTCTATACATATATCTTACCTTGACGCTATTTTTCTATACTTACAGTATTTTTTCGACAATCCAACTTTTTGAAACTTAACAAAGCTTAGATTGTAGATAATTTCTATACATTTGTGGCGGGTCGCAACTTGGTCGCTGCGACCGCTTGTTTTATTTTTTATCATTTGATTTAATGGCCTAGCCGTTGACTAGTCGCTGCGACCTGGTCGTCAGTGCTTTTGAGCTCTAACATCACGTATTGGGCTTTTCAGTCACAGAAAAGCTCATGGCAGAAAACGTCTTGCGTAACTATCTTCTGATCCGTGTCAAATACTCATCAGCGAGTAATCGCAGTAGTAGTTTAGTAGTATCTTCTTAGACACTATTTATTAGTGATTTGGCATTACGATTCTTTTAGTGAATCGAATCACACAATTCAATTTCTCATATTGAATCGACTCGTAAGATTCGTTCATTTGAACGAACAACATGCACAATTTACCTTTCATATAAACAAGAATCATAACTGGCACTACCGGCGATAATTTGGTTGGACAATTACTTAAGGGGCCAGAACAAGAAATATACAGTTTTTTCATTTGTTTTTCAACACTTTATGGCATTGGCGTAATTATTGGATTGATTATTTTACCAATAATATTAAATTATCATTCCAATTCATATATACTATTTATTAAAGACTTCTTAATACCAATTTAATAATTTTAGTATATTTTAATTCCGATTTAATAATCATATAATAAATAGTTTATAATGCCGTATAATCGAAAAAAAATGGCGTCCAGTTGACTTAAAAATGAACATTCCCCATATAATTTTAAAATGACAGCAATTTTCTTTTCATAACCATCGCTGACGACGTTTTTTTGTCATATTGAGCAGAGGCCAATAATATTTATTTGGAATTGCATAAAAACACTATTTCGTCTTTCAGTCCGACATTTTACTATAGTTGGTAAATATTATTTTAACAAAAATATTAACGTGAAAATTAAATGCATTACAAATACTCCCGTACTAAGCACAGTATATATAAGTTTTTTTTCTTGTAAATAACTTTCTTATCGTTTGCATTTTATGCCCATGACATTTGTTTAGATCTTTTGTTCAAGTTTAATTATTGGTGCCCGACTCTCTCTATGCTCATATCACCGCCGCGCCGTAGAAACGAACGATCGCATTGTGATCTGATTCAATTCTTACGACTCTTTTTTACGGATCATCGTTCCAATTTTATGGATCGGTGCTGGCCACGATTCAGTTGAACGAACCGTTTTGTAAGCAATAAATCAATTCTTACGACTCTTTGAACGAATGATCCGTAGAAAAGGACGATCGCATTCTGATCCGATTCAATTCTCACGACTCTTTCTTACAGATCGTCCGTTTAAATATTATGGATCCGTGCTGGCTACGATTCAATTGAACGAACCGTTTTGTAAGCAATGAATCATTTCTTACGACTCTTTGAACGAACGATCCGTAGAAACGAACGATGGCATTCTGATCAGATTTAATTCTCACGACTCTTTTTTACAACTCGTTCGTTTAAATTTTATGGATCCGTGCTGGCCACGATTCAATTGAACGAACGATCCGTAGAAACGAACTTTGCCCACCTATACTGTTTATGTCACTAATTCGCTCATAAGATTGTGCATCTCCTTTTTTCTTTCGATATTTGAAAATGGGGGTTTTTATATTTGGAACAAGTCTAAAAATAACAGCATATTGCTATCATTTACCTTTACTGTTATTAATATTAAAAAAATGAGTTTTTGATCGAAATTGCATATGAGCAATATTCACTTGAAACGATGAATAAAATTGGATATAGCTTTTGGTTCATAGATCATTTTAGCTATGAAAATAAATACACATATTTTTTATATAAAAGCAAACACTTTAATCAATTATTTCGCGCAAAAAATACAAGCGATTCGTTTGTATTCACTTGCACAGTTTGTCGAAAAGGCCCGGAATATATTTTTCTATGAAACAAATTGCCGCTGGGCCAACAATGTTTTTAATTTGAATTTACTATTTGTTAGTTCGCATTTCAATAAGCTTCAATCGGGTACGAACGAACGTTGAATAAAAACAGACGAACTTTCAATAACAGGACGTCGTTATGTACACTGGCTTTATCGAAAAACAAATTATCGGAAATATGCCGCTTACAAATATTTAAATTGTTATACGGCCTGCAGCTCTTCTACCATTTAGCATTGTGTACCTAAATGTCGTTTTTTTCTTGTTGCAGATAAAGGAGTACGAAAAACTAGAATCGCACGAAGAGAGGAAAGAAAAGGCTAAAGAAATTTACGATAAGTTTATTATGAAGGAACTCTTAGCCCGAACTCATGTAAGTATTGATTTATGACAGTTTTTGTTGAAGATAATGTATTTTCTTTTTCATACGTCTATCTTTTATGAAAAATATATGTCTGAGAACACCCACAGACGCTCAGTTCTTTAACACAAGCGGACCGTACAGATCAGTTTAATTGTGCAGAAAACATAACTGCAAAATGTTTGCTTTTTAAAAATTTTCAAATTCAAATTCAAACTCATATAGTTTATTTTCCTTTTCAAAAATTAATATACACATTAAACAAAAAAAGGTAAAGGGATTGTGCTGCGATTAGAAGAAAAGTCGATACACAAATACAATAAGAATAAATGTTGATGGTCGAAGGGTGAAAATTTAGGACTGTATGTACCATATGAACGACAAAAAAACGGCGTCCAGTTGGCTGGGAAATGACGATCGATGACGTTTCCCATATAAATTTTCATATAAATGACAGCGATCTTCATTTCATAGCCATCGCTGACGCCGTTTTTTTCTCGATCATACGGTATTTTTTAATACCACATCATAAGAAAATAAAAATAAAAAAATTTGCCCAAAATTTGGGGCGGACCACTCTTATCACTGAGGGGTATAAAAAATAGATAACAACCTATTTCATAAAATGTTATCAAAATCTATAAAGCCGTTTCGGAGGAGTATGGTAACTAAAACTGTTACACGAGAATTTTATATTTTAGATAAATGATGGTAAAAATCGATGTAAAAAATATTCTTCTTCTTCCGGTCCCATATGCAATCTTGCGCGTTAGGGATAGTTTGTACAGGGTGGGTCAAATTCGACGCTTTTAAATGGAAACACCCTTTTCTATAGGAGATAGACAAAAACTAATATCGGTGTCTGGAGCTCAATTTTTGTCAAAAACATGATGGTGATATTTGTTACCGTTTCGGAGTTTTTCAAAAATATGCATTTTAAACAAATCGCTGTAACTTTTTTGCTATGGAAAATTTTGTATTTTTATGAATACATTTCCAAAGCAACCTTTTACGTAGAATTTAATGGTTTAAGTTAATTTTTTAAAAATTAATAATTTAAGAATTATCAACAGAAAATTTCATTTTTTATATGGGACACCCTGTATATTTTTAATTTATTGAAAATACTTTAAAATTGCCTTTCCAAAAATATAACACACTTGATATTTTGCTCGATTCCTCTTCGAGATATTGAGTATATAAAAATTCGCCCGCTTTAAATAAGTAGGCTTTGAACGGCACCGGCTGTAATGCAAAAAAATTCTGGCTGTGAGCATCAATTAAAACGAAAATAATATTTGCTATGAGAGATGCAGAATTTTATAACAATTTAAAATATATTTAACCAACATCAACACATTTAAACTATATATCTAATAACAATAAAAATAAATAGCAAACCAAGACATGAGATTTTGCTACAGGTGTTCGACATATCGACCGTCTTCTGTTTATGGACAGACGGGGGAGTTTTTGAACATTTCTCGCTGAATTCATTAACTCAGTGGGGGTGAAAGATACCCTCTTATAACTCCTAAGTATTTCTAATTCTTGTCTAGATTATACGGAAGAATAAGGAACCTTTATTCTTCCGCAAATTTATTCATAGGATCCATGGTCACTAAGTAAGGGCTGGGATCTTGGTTAGCTATTCAATTATTCTTAAAATTGGCTGCAAAAATTTGCTGATAACTTCAGCGTTCAGAGGCGATGCGTCGCACACTGGTTCGCTCTTATGGACGTACGTGGCCAAAACCTGTATATTATTATATCGGGGAAAATTAATGTATCAGTTAATATTTTTTAGTAAATCTATAAATATTTAGGCGTTTGGAGTTGCCAAACATATAAAAAAAGTTCTTTATCGTTAGACGTTTTCAATTATACAGGTAAAGTAACGATGGTTCATTAGAATTTAAAAGCGCAATTTATTTACCAATATTAATAAGTATTACTTTATAAAGTTATTTAGCAAAAATTAAAAAACAACAAACAGAATGAACAATGGTTAGAAGATATGCGGTAAATCGTTGATAAGCTAATAAAGATACAGGGTGTCCCATAAGTGTGAGAAAGTTCAATATTGTCGTTGCGTAGACGAAAATATGAAAAAAGTATTATATAAATATTTGCATGTTTTATTAAGGTGTATATGCTAAAAATATTTTGTTGTATAAAGGGTGTCCCAAAGTAATGATAAAATCCTGGGCTTTTTAAATCATAACTCCCTTTTTCTGTACATAATTTGATTCAGCATAAAATTGTGCATATAGGACACTATTTTTATTTGAAAAACTATGCGGTGTTACCATGCTATTTCTTATTTATTAAAATTTTCATTAATAATAGTAGGTATATCCGAAAATTGGTTAAAATCTGAGGTTAATTTATATTTGTTAATATCTAATGCTATACTATGTTAATACCCTGTACTTTACCAATATTTTCTTAACGCCAAAGAAAATAGAATAAATTTGTGAAGAAAAAACTCACATTATCTTATACCGGTCATTTTTATGGCGTGGCTAACAATGAAATATTTAAAATGCTCTATTTCAATTTTTTAAATGCACATTTATAAACCATGCAACATTTATATAAGACGTTTGTTTACAAGACAATTTATGCTGAATAGCAGATATTAGCAGCTAATTTGACATGGTTCTCAAAATAGACATTATGAAGTTTCATTTAAGTTAAAAACAATCACTTAGTTCAGCTGCGATATCCTTGATTTAGTTATGTATATAAATATATTTCACAGGTACAATATAATTTTGATATTTTCAAATGGTTAGTACTATTTTTTTTCATTTTATCTGTCAAAAACTGATATTATATGAGGAAAGTATACGTGCAGTATGGTCTAATTATAAAATACACTATTTAATATTATTTTGAAAACACTAAGTGAGTAATTTATTCATTGTCGATACAAAAACAGTTATATATGCTTTTTTAGACTATTGCATATAAAATGTTATCACATAAGTGCTCTAAAGTGCATGAATTTCCAAAATATATTTTTATAACAAACCTTTCATGTTTTTAAATATATATTATAAAATATTTGATCATATATGATCAAAATAATTTTTTTCGATATATTGAGTTTTGGCCAAATTTTTATAAGGGAGGGAACTACTGTGCGTCGTCTCGCTGGAAAAATATGTTTTCGAGTTCCATTAAGGGCATATCATCAATATGGGGTCCAAAGCCTACTAGCGTTGATTGAAAGAACTGTGTTACTTATTTCCTTCAATCAACGCTACTAGTTAAAAGTGGCGAACTTTTAAAAATTCTATATTTCGAAGGGGATTATAACAAAATATCAAGTGTGCTATATTTTTGGAAAGGTAATTTTAAATTCTTTACAGTTTATTAAAAATAGAGGGTGTCCCAAATAAAAAATCAATTATTCTGTTGATAACTCTTAAATTATTAATTTAAAAAAAATTATACTTAAACCATTAAATTCTACTTAAAAAGGTGCTTTGGAAATGTTTTCATAGAAATACAAAATTTTCCATAGCAAAAAAGTTACAGCGATTTGTTAAAATGCACATTTTTGAAAAACAGCCCGTAACTCCGAAACGGTAACAGATGTAGAATGTAGATTGTAGAATGTTTAGAAGGGGAGTTAATCACCGCGACCTTATAGATCTATTGTGTGTTCCCCTTTCTTGAGTTATAACGAGTTATAACTCATCATACAGTCTCAGGGCTTTAAGAAAAGCCAGTATCTGAGACGGCTCCACAGAGGCCAGCTCTCCATCCTCGACATCAGACGTGCCAAGGTTCATGGCACGAATGGTCGTCGTCTCGGCGCACTCAGTGATAAGGTGTTCTGGTGTTTCCCCATTTTCCCCACAAAATCTGCATTCGCCGTTGTTTCTCAGTTTCAGCCTACTGAGGTGTTCGTTGAGGAGACAGTGTCCTGTTAGAAACCCCGTGACAATCCGAAGATTGTTTTTACTTAAATCAAGGAAAACCTTTGATTTTTCTCGGTCATAAGTTCTAAGGAACTTTTTCGAGTGTCTTAGACCGTTGGAGGACACCCATTCCAAGTTACGGATGGAGTCTTCCAGATTCTTCAGTTCCGCTTTCAGTTGGTTCCCGTTTGGAAAACAGAACGGTTCTGGTCCAGTTAGTGGAGTGTTCGCTCCTTTCCTAGCTAGATCATTTGCTTTTCATTGCCTTCTATCCCTTGGTGAGCAGGCACCCAGAGTAGGAGGACTTTATTTTCTTTGCCCTAATTTGTTGAGCTTCTCTAGGCATTCTTTGACCAACTTCGAATTGATGGTTACTGAGTTGATCGCGTTAAGTGCTGCTTGACTATCGGATAGGATGGCAATTTCCTGTTTTCGATAGTTCCTATCCAAGATAAATTGTACGCATCTTTCGATAGCGCAAATTTCTGCCTAAAGGATACTGGGGTAGGTGCCCATTGGTTCGGAGTATTCAGTTTTCGGCCCAAATACTCCTATCCCTGTCCCTGCTTTGGTTTGGGAAGCATCAGTATACCACGTGATGGTATGGTCTTTTATATGCTGAGTAAGCGTTTCTTTCTTCCAATCCTTTTTATTACTCAATACTACAGTGAGGTGTTTCTCAAAGTTGTAAATTCTTGGTATGTCATCCACTGGGAGTTGGAGAAGTGGAATTTTCTTTTTGAGGGTGTTCCAAGCCCCTGACCTGAAAATTCTCCCAGTACTGTTTCCGTCAATGACCATTCTAACGGTAACAGATATTGATGTGCGGTTTTCACCATCATGTTTTTGATGAAAATTGAGCTCCAGACACCGATATTAGTTTTCGTCTGTCTCCTATAGAAAAGGGTGTTTCCATTTAAAAGCGTTGAATTTGACCCACCCTGTACATTTTCTTCAACTGATTGTAAGGGTATTGTCTTCTGCCCCACGGAATATGGCGACCGCGTCCGGTATACCGCTCCAATTCTTGATGTTCCGGAGCCAAACATGGCAAGATGATCAAACATCAAAGGTGATCAAAAATGAACAGAAAATGTTTTCTTCCTGGCCCTCTTCGAATCTCAATTTTGCCCTGTAGGACCAGTTTCGGAATGGCTTAGCGAGTTCCTCTCAAAATGTGCACCAAATATGACATTTTCCTGGTCTTTATACTATATTAGCAGTTGTCTGTCGACACCAGCTTTCCGCAGGACTTCTTCGTTTGAAATATGATCGATATACGAGATCTTAAATAGTCTATGGAGAGTTTTTAACGTTTAAAACGCTTCGATGTGATTTGGGGACTTCACCACGTCTCCGCAAAATATAAAAAAATAAATAAAATATTCTCAAAGACAAGACAAATAGAGAGAGAAAAAAGGATTGCATCCTGATCCATGATTTTCTTTAGTTTTTTTTGCCTAAAAGAACTTCACTTATTAATATTTTAACAACTGCTTCCCTATTTGCTTATGAATCAATCTCATTTAGCTTTTCTACTATATGAAGTGTTTATAATCTGCATATTTTTTATTCTGTACACATGCCATGCTTTTATATAGTTCCTGTTTAATACAAATTAGCATTTTGTTTCCAGTTAATAATAGACTGAACTTTACCTACGGCCTAAACGACCAGCCCACCTTAAGCGGGACTTTGTAATCATGACTTCAATATTCTCGCAGTTAGCTTTTTCAAGGGCCGATACGTTTGAGACATGATGGAACCATTTGATTCTTAAGAGTTGTCTAAGATGTCTCTGTTGCAACTTGTTTAATGCGTTTATGTGTCGACGGTACGGCACCCACGTTTCGCTTCCATATAATATGGTGGGAATTATTATTGCTCGATACACTGCAAGTTTCGTTTTTGTGCTCAAGTCATGATTGTAGAAAACGCTGTCTTTTAATTTCCAGAATGCTCTTGAGGCGCTGCTAATCCTGAATGAATTTCAGAGTCGATATTGGCTTTTTCCGAAATTAGACTGCCGAGGTAATTGAATTCCGCTACATATTCTAATAGTTCTTCTCCGATTTTTATAGCATTATTGTGATCTTCCGGCGGAGTGCACATGATTTTAGTTTTATCGATCTTCGCTTAAGTCCCAATGCCTCGTATGCCCATGTATATGTGTTCAATATTTCTTGCAATTGCTGTAACTGATTTGTAACTAGAGCACAGTCATCAGCGTATTGAAGTCTGTGATGAATTTTGTACGTGTTTTTGCCCCAAGTCTTTTTATGTTGAACAGACCGCCGTCGTATCTGTATCTAATGCTCAAACCTCTCTCCTGCAGTTTGCTGTCCACTATAATGGAGAGCGCTGCCATGAATATATTGAATAGACGAGGCGCTAAGACACATCCCTGCCTAACGCCTGTGTTTGTTCGGAAGGTGTTTGTTGGCTCAGTGATCCATGATATGACACTCTTGATTTGTTGTTGTTATGATGGCTTTTACACACTGTAAGACATTTGTTGGGTACTCCGAACTTTTTCATAATTGCCCAAAGTGCATCTCTGTTCACAGAGTCGGAGGCTTTTGTTAGATCGATGAATGCAACATAAAGTTTAGACTGCTGCTCTTTTACTTTTTCCTGTAATTGGCGGATGGAGAATATGGAATCAACGATACCGCGGTTGGTGCGAAAACCCGTTTGCGATTCTGGGAGGATTTTTTCTATATAGATATATTTTTCCTATATAGTAGAAATTTAAGTAACTTTATTGCGTTTTTTTTTCTAAATAACTTCTGAACTAACTTCGATATATTTGGATAAAAATTGGTATCTGGGTGTTTTTTAACACGAGTAATTCGATTTCGATACCAGTCTGACTTCTAAGATTAATAATTTTTCGTCTGTTCCTGTATTATACTACTCAATGAAAAAGTATACATTTGATAATTTTGCTAAAAATCGCTACGATTAATGGTTGTCAAGATATTTGAAATCAAAATAGTCAATACATGTCATAATTGAGAAATTTATACATTTTGATTGGATAGTTATTAGTCTGAAATAATGCATTTGAAATGTTTTTGTGCCAAAGATTCAACAGAAACTGTTTTATCTTATTTTTTTCCCTAGAAAAAATCATGATTAGCTCAAAAAATAAAAAGTTTACGAATTTACCATTTAAGCTAAATAACTCTAGTAATCTGTGTTTATTTTTTGTCAATAATAACAGTATTGACTATTCCCATTCCAAACATCTTGAGAAAACAATTGCTCGTAGCGATTTTTAACGAAAGACCATTTTTACGCCCTGATGACGATAAACGATGACAGAAATGTTTTTTTTTCACTCAATAATTTTATACAGGTACGGACGAAAAGTTATTACTCTTCAAAACAGTTAAAAAATATGTAGGTGGCGGCGCGGCGCCCCCTGCAAGTAGGAGTCATATTTACATCGAAATCTAATTTTTTATGTCAAAAAATGCTCAAACACCAATTTTCATCCAAATATCTATTATAGTTCAGAAATTATTTGGCAAAAAGCAAAATAAAAACGAAACTGTCCATCCTGTATCTCCGAAACGAAACGTTTGACGACATATGTTAATACTAACTGTTTTACTTATTTTCGTCTTCAAAATTTACTGCCGAAGTTTTTCGAATACAACTCGGACCACCCTGTATAATTCATGACAAAAATTCCAGCTACCCCAAAACATTATTACCAAAAATAAAATTTGAGTCGATTAATATTAGATAAAGCACGAGTATAATAAAGTAAGATTAACAGCGCATTATTTAGAAAAATTGAAATAATTAAGAAAGAACGCAGAAATTTATTACTAAAAATTATGTAAAATCCTCTTTAACGAATTACTACAATACTGCAAACAATCTACCTCTATTCGTAAGGAGAGAATCGAAATAATTCGGCATGAATTTCATTATAATCCAATTTACGTTTTCGCATAACTTAATTTTAATTTTGCAGGAATATTCAGAAGAGTGCCTTCAGCATGTTCAGCAGCATCTTATGCGGCAAGAAGTTCCAGTCACATTATTTGAAGTAAGCTTATTATTTAATTTTTTATTTAATATAAAAGCGACTTTCGCTTTAATTTAATTTTAAATATACGTTTCTCTAGGTACACTATCAGACAAAAGTAGAGAAATCGTCGGATTTCAAAAACCTCCAATATTTAAAATAATGTTTGTATTAAACATAATATTTCCTTTTAGTAATACCATCATTTTTTTAGTAATGCCACATTCCAAATTTATCTTATCAGGTGTTTATTTATAATATGGAACTATTTTGAAGGGAAAAAACATAAAAATAATAAAACCAACATAAAAATTGGCCATACTTAGTAATTTGTAGTAGTGGGAACTATCGAATGAATACTATCGAAACATTCGATAGTTGCAATTCAATCGAATAATTCGATAGCTAGTAAGAAAACATTCGTCGAAAACTATTCGAATAAAAATTATCGAATAGATGCGTCATCTGCCTTGAAATATTGTATTCTAGTAATTCGGCAGCAAAAACCATTCATTTATAAAATTCATTCATTTATCAAATTCATTTATTCGTCAGTATCGATTTTAATGAAATATAAACTGGATTTTAGTTGTCGTCCGGCGACGTAGGTTTCTTTCCTAGAAACCCGACAGCGGTCGGTGGCAATGCTATGAAAGAAGCCGGCATCTTTGATTTTTTGCGGAGTCAAATAAAGATAAGGACACATTATTTTTTTTATTGAGGTGCTAGTATTTACACATAAAATACATTATGAAGGGCGCTGTTGCCATATATTCGTATTAGTTGGTATTAGCAAAGAATATTATTCTTTAGCATTAGTTAGTTAGGGATAGTATGTCTAATGTTTTGCATTTTTTTTATTAATATTCTGTTATTACACTACAATAATACTTTTTATTTTGGATGTAGAAAAATTATTTTTAATGTTTTTAAGCAAAGACTGGTTTAATAAATAATAACAGTAATAATTTGTTATACCTATTAACAACAAAATTTAAAATCATTTAATAATATAAACATTTTTTTTTAAGTAGTAGCAAAATATAAACAACAAATAGAAGTCAAAAGTATTTATATTATTTATTATTATCCTATCTAAAAATAATATAGTCTCTAAATGGCAACGTTGGTTTATTAAATAATAATAGTTGCAGAACTAATTTGTTATATTAACAACAAATTTTAAAATCATGAAATATAAACATTTATTAATTTACTAATGCCGTGTAATGGAAGGAAAATATAAATAAAAAATTAGAAATCAAAATTATTTATATTACTTTTTATTATTTTATATTACTATTTAAAAATAATATTTACTTTTACTGGCATTTACTTTAAAAAATAAATGAAATATTTCTTCGCAAAAAACTACATGTAAGAGAATTAGCATAAACAAAACACAAACATTGTTAACTTTTTTTTGAAATTGGCACGTGTAAAACTTTCATTTTAATTTTCTCACCCCAAAATTTGAGTTCAATAACCCCATTTACTTAACCACATTACTTAAATATGATTATTAAGTTCATCTCATCTCTCTTAAAAATTGTTACTTCTCAAAATTTCCCATTAAAAAAATGCAATCTAACCTAACCATAATATACCATATAAAATTAAATAATTGAAAGATCGGGCTACGGAATATCACACAAATTTTCGGAAAAATTTTGACCACTTCGCACACAATCGTCAATTAAAAAAAACCTACTATTTTAGTATTTTAAATATTTTAATAAACGCAAAAATAGCATAGTATTTACAAGGCGAAGTTATAAAAATTTGGAAGAACTAATAATGCACTGACGCACACAAAAATCAAACGAATACTACTTAAATTTCATTTATCAAAAACATTCGATAGTCGTGGCTCGTGGCTCAACGATAACCATTTAGTCGCACGGCGAGGTTGTCACTTATGCTTTAGTATACAAATGAATGAATGATTTTATTCGAATAAAACCATTCGATAGTTGAAATCATTCATTCAGTAACCATTCGATAATCTAATTCGTTCGATAGTTCCCATCGCTAGTTATTTGCTTAAGGTGAAAACTTTTGAGTTGAACTTAACTAAAGCATTTGATAAAGTACGCCTATCTGACATTATAAACATACCCAACAAACATTTGAAGTTAAAATTACGTTAAATTAACCACCTGGACTATTAGTGACCAACTGGAAATTGGTCTAAATTTCCAAGAATTGACGTTAAAAATCCCAAAGTGGGGAATAAAACTAAAGTAATTTGGAAGTTAAAAACAGGTTAACAGGTTATAATGTCTTGTATGAAATATGGGCTATGAAGTCAAAAATAACCATAAATGTAAATTTTACATGGTAAAATAGAGGTGAATTTTACTAAAAATAGTCCATGGGAAAGAAAGAGGAAAAATATGGTAAAGTATTTTTCTTTTTAATATGTGTATGTAAATGAATTTCCCAATAATGAACCAGGAAGACAAAAAAGTGTAAAACTGGCATGGCCGTTTAAACATTACTACCTACATATTATTATATGCACCTAGTAAATGTAAATAAGTTATTGGTAAGAAGTGGATTACTGGATTCCCAAGATAATTATGTCGCCGGAGAAAATTTTTCTGTGAAATGTAAATATGATAGGCCCTAAAAAATTATGCGCCATTAAAATTTTATGTATTTTCAACAATTAATTTTAGAATAAATCGCTATTTTCAAGGTTCTAACCTAACTTTTTTCAGCTGACTTACTTGGTACACTTTTAAAGTTCTTAATTAGTTAATTTAACTTGTGCTAGGTAGTATTATTCATAAACGTCTGTTTATTTTTCTCAATAGTTTAGAACAATATCACAAACAAATATTTTTTTTACAACAAATTGCATAAGAAAATGGCCGCTAATGGTGTTTTTAACTATTCGTCTATGAAGTTAGGTTTTCCATAATTTTAAAACCTTAAAGTCCGCTTTCTTTGTATGAGGTTAAGATTTCTTTAAATTACTAACCTCAAAGGTCAAGATTTCTTGTTTAAGGTATTTTTCCTTCGAGGTGCAAGTTAAAAAATGGGCTAGATTAGGTCGCAGCTCATTTCTCGAAGTCTTGACTACATTGTTGGAGTATCGCCGGTAAAACAGAAAACTTTTATTTTCTTTGAGTGACAGTTGACAATGATATTTTATGCTAAGTTCGGTAATTACATCTTCGAGCAATCCGATTAACTTTTCACAGTAATCGTGTCCTAAAATCGAGAATATTTATTCAGAGTCACATGACATGTCAAATTTTTATCCTTTTGCTGGCCGATGCAATTACCGAACTGGCCTAAACTAGAACACTAACTAACTAGAAAACCAAATTAGTTTTCTTTGCTTATTATTTTTAAAAGTTTTGTGTTTTGGGATTGTCAGTGTTATTACAGAGGACTTTTTGTTTTTATTGCACATAATGCACACGTTTAAGATTGTGGCGGTAATAAAAAAGAAACGCATTGAATATTCTTTCGTTCCCAACCAGTGGGAACAAGGTAATGTGCTATGACGTAATAATCCCTCGAAAATTTTTTTAAACGGAAATTACCCCGAAGAAATTGAAAAAGGTAATTTTTAACCTTCCGTATGTCTGACTTTCGTCCAAGTTACTTTTACCTTTGAACCATAATAGCGACTTATGAGGTCGAAATAAATTAAATTTTCAACCTAATTTGAACTCCTCCAAATAAGGTCTAATTTAAAGTTATTAACAACTAAATTTTAACCTAACTTGAAAACCAAACAATGCCTTCGACCCCCGAGACAAATTTGAGGTTATAATAAAGTAACATTTGACCTACTTAAGTCCCTGTAGTCTTAATGCCCTCAATAGGTTATCAGTAACTAGATTTTAACAATGCCAGCTAACTCCAACGTTGCTACGTTTCAGAGGCATAATTTTAGGTTAATATTAACTAATTTACGACCTCATTTTTAGATTTCTCGCACTTTATTCCCTACAAGAAATTTATTAAGTTAAGTATAAGTAAAATTCAACCAAATAGTGGTTAATTTTCCGTGGTCAATGTTTTTTTCTCCCTTCTATGCTACTTGGGTATTAAAAGAGAAAAAAGTGCCTGATAATATTGTGAAAATTATCAGAAAGCTAAATATCGATAACACAACTCAAGTGAAAGCAGGTAATAATCTAACACGAGACATACCAACACCAGGAGGCATTAGACAAGGAGACAGCCTTAGACCCTTCTTATTCAATCTTTTAATGGACATCATCATAGAAAAGGTTACGTCGATGAATATCGGTTATCGAATGGGACACAACAGAGTTAGCATGGTGTGTTACGCTGATGATGCCATTATCGCAGAGATAGAGGACGATACGCAGAGACAGCTTCATAAATTCTATCGAGGAAGCCGAGAATTAAATATGATGAGAGAACTTAAATAACCAAGAATCCAGAACTTAAATATGAGAAAAAACTAAATGCTTAACTTTCTCTAAAGAGCCGGTAAGATGCAAACTGGTAGTAGAAAACAAAATTATTGAGCAAGTATCACAGTTCAGATACCTAGGAATAGATCTGTCGCACTATCGTGATCCAGAGAAAGATCTGGGAAGCCAAAGCAACATAAACAGAGCAACGTCCATGTCAGGATGTCTGAGTCAAATAGTGTGGACAAACCCCTTCATGCGAACAGACAGCAAAATTAAAATTTATAAGACCTGCATCAGACCAATAATGACATATGGCATAGAAATCCGAGAGGAAACAAACAAAAGAAGATCTCAAATAAGTAAAAGAAGAAGAAGAAAACTTTTGATATTCTGATTTACATTTTTACTAAATATACGCAGAATATACAGAGCCGAGGATCTTCGCGAAAAAATAATCAACGCACATCAGAATGATGGTGTACGGCAAATGGACATAAACACAATGTTTAATTTGCATAAGTCTGTCATTAGCAAAACGATTTCCAACTTCGAAACTCGCAATTCCTTAAAGACTATTAAAAAAAGTGGTCGACCAAGGAAAACAACGATAAAAAT